GATACCCGTAGATCTATTATACAATAATTTCTTTAGAAAACTATTTATTATCCGTACTTGTACCAAAAGGAATAAACAAGTTATTTTATTATAAAAAACAATAGGACCATGATAGCAAAATAGAAAAAAAAAAAGAATTGCAAGTAAATGAAAAATTTTCTACACACTAACTTTAAGTTTTTAATTAACAAATTAAAAAATTGTCTTATGTTTTATTAGAGTATGTTTATTGAAATTAATAAATTGTCATAATAATTAAATAAATATGTTATATATAAAATAATAATTTGCCAAAACAAAAAAGAGGACATACTATTAAATCGAAATTTGAACCAACATGAACCCACCACTACTAGCTTGTTTAGTGCCCATTTACCTTTATTTTCCATGAAGAAGAATTAATTAGCCAAGTAAAGATAAAAAAAAGGAAAGATATTTAAAGAAATTTTGATAAAACAAAATAAATTACAAATATAATTTTGTTTTGTTGAAGTATTTTGAAGCACAAAATAGAGAAAGACCAATAATTAAATAAGCTTGGATTGATTTATTTGATAATAACGAAATCTGTGAATGCCAAAAGGCTGAAATTAAGTAGGGAAATGCTTCATTTGAAGGAGAGAGTAAGGAAAGAAGATGCATGTAAAGCCATGGAAAGATGCAGTGAAATCAAGAGGGCAATGAACGAAGGGATTAATGAATACTTAAGTACTCACCTAATGGCCTGACAATTTGTCTAATAAATTTTTAATTGTTTCCAAAAGCATAGGAATAGTTGTGATCAAAGTATTGGAACACGTAGCCTTGCTCTTTCTTCTACTTGGTTTTGCCTGTATTCACGGCAGAAACAAACAGAAGTACTACAGTGCCCTGAATAGTCCAATAACCAAATTATTACTACTCCTAACTTGTAAATGCCGTTGATGCCTTGTCACTATGAAAAAGTTAACACATGTACACCTAGATCTAAGGGTAGTTCTAGCCTATCTATTCCCCGATTTTTACCACCCAAAGGCAAAGCAATCTTTTAAAATTCAATGAGTACTTTATTCAAACTAGGAATTTGCTTTCGATGACTCATTGCCAGCTTTTTCCTTGTCTTTGTCCCACACTGCTGCTGGCCTCCAACAAAGTTTTTATACCAACGAGAATTCCAGGTCAATGCCTTACTCAATTGTTAAGCTACCCACACAAACTCCTTTAACTTTCACACAGCAAAATACGTCCGTTTTTGATTTCTCTCTTTCTTTCCTGAGCATAACAATCATGTCTTTTCTTGGGGAGGTTGCTCTCACAGGTTTCTTTGATGGGTTGTTTGGCAAGTTATCTTCGTTTGATTTCCTCACCTTTGTCACTGAAAGGCAGGTCCTCAAGGAGCTTAACAAGTGGGAAAAGATGCTGCGGGATATCCGTGCCGTGCTTGATGATGCAGAGGGGAAGCAGATGAAGGATCAGTATGTGAAGAACTGGTTGACCGATCTTCAAGACTTGGCTTACGATGTAGATGACATTTTGGACGAGTTTGCCACTGAAGCTTTGGGGCGCAAGCTGACATCCTTGGAGGAACCTCAGGGCATCAAAAATAAGGTACAAAAGATCATTCATACTTGTTTCTCTTCAAAAACTATCATGTTTAATAATAAGATGATGTCCAAGATTAAAGAGATGAGTGCTAGAATGAATGATTTGGCCACACAAAGAACTCAATTGGAATTGCGAGGTATTAAGGCGGGAGCAAGGTCCAACAGAATGATACAAAGCCTTCAGCCTACTTCTTTGGTGGATGAAACTCAGGTGTACGGTAGGCAAGAAGAAAAGGCAGCATTACTTGAATTGCTTTTGAGCAATGATGGTACTGACAATGAAGCTTCTGTGATTCCCATCATTGGCATGGGAGGAATTGGTAAGACAACTCTTGCACAACTTGTCTACAATGATACTCGTATACAAACTTCTTTCCATGACAAGGCGTGGGTATGCGTTTCTGATGATTTTGATGCCGTTGTGATAACGAAGACAATTCTACAATCAATTGCTCCTGATTCTTGTACCAATATTAATGATTTCAATTTGCTTCAAGTCAAGTTGAAGGAGAAGCTGGCTGGGAAAAAGCTTTTGCTTGTCTTGGATGATATCTGGAACGAGAATTATCTGGAGCTGACCAACCTACTCTCTCCATTCGGAGTTGGAACCAAAATTCTCATTACAACACGGAGTCACAATGTTTCTTCTATTATGGGCACTGTTAAAGCTTACCCACTACAACAGTTATCAGAGGAAGATTGTCTATCTGTATTTACTCAACATGCATTAAGAGCAAATGGTTTTAGTGGGCATCCTGAATTAAAAGAAGTTGGGGGACTTATAGTGAAAAAGTGTAAAGGCTTACCTTTGGCAGCTAAAGCCATTGGTGGTTTACTACGCACAAGCCTGGACTATGAAGCATGGAAAGGTATATCAGAGAGCGAGATATGGGGAATACCAGAAGAGGAATGTGGCATAATTCCAGCTCTACGATTGAGCTATCATCATCTTCCTGCACATTTGAAGAGATGCTTCGCATATTGCTCTATACTCCCTAAAGATTATGAATTCGGGGAGGAGGAGATAATCTTGTTATGGAAAGCAGAAGGTTTTATACAACCAGCAAGCCCTGGAACTCAACTCGAAGTTCTCGGGAGTCAATATTTTCGAGATCTAGTCTCAAGGTCATTTTTTCAAACATCAACTAGGAACAACTCTCGATTCGTAATGCATGATCTCGTCAATGATCTAGCTAAATCGGTTGCAGGGGAAATATGCTCCACATTGGAGGATGATAAACAGTTGAGATTTTCGCCAGGTACCCGACATTCATCTTATGTTCGTGGTCGTTATGATGGAATGAAAAAGTTTGAAGCCTTCAATCAAACAAAGCATTTACGAACCTTTCTACAGTTGTCGGGATCGTCGTGGGCACCTGAAGGTGATTGTTACCTAAGTAACAATGTCCTCGTCGATTTGCTGTCCAAACTTAGATGCTTAAGAGTTCTTTCTTTGAAGGGGTATCACATCATTGAGTTACCAAACTTTTTTCAAAACTTAATACATTTGCGCTACTTGGACTTTTCTCATACTACAATTAAAAGGTTGCCTGATTCAATACGCAACCTTTATAACTTAGAAACTTTACTACTATGTGGGTGTAGGTTGCTTGAAAGTTTACCTTCAAATTTACAAATTCTAGTCAACTTGCGTGTTCTCGACATCACGGATACGCTTTCAATGAAAGGGATGCCATTTGGAATTGGTAACTTAACCAATCTTCGAAGACTATCAGATTTTGTTTTGGGCGAAGGTGATGGACATCATATACAAGAGATGAAGAATCTGTTATATTTGAAGGGTAAGCTTTGTATCTCTGGGTTAGAGAACATTGTTAATGTTCAAGATGCATGGAAGGCTAAGTTAATCTATAAATCAGGCCTTGGCAGGTTAGAACTAAAGTGGAGTAGAGAATTTGATAATAATAGAAATAAAGAAGTTGAAGAACAGGTGTTGAATTTGCTTGAACCTCATAAAATGCTTGAAGAGATCTTCATTCAGAATTATGGTGGTACAAAATTTCCGATTTGGATGAATTCTTCATTACAAAATTTGTCGTCTTTGGTTCTCAAGGGCTGTAAAAATTGCATATCACTACCATCAATTGGAAAATTACCATTGCTGAAGAATCTTTCTATTGCTGGAATGGATGAGATAAATAAGGTTGGCATTGAGTTCTATGGGGAGAATCAATCAAACGCATTTGCTTCGTTACAAAGTTTGAGCTTTCGGTGTATGCCAAGATGGAAGGAATGGGAGTTGGTTGATGAGCAAGTTGTGAAATTCCCTAGCCTGGTCGAGCTTTCCATTAGTGACTGC